CCATTTGCCTCTCATGACTTTTTTCATCTTTCCTTCTTTCCTGTTTCTGCTTCTTTTAGGATAAACGTCACCCTCTTAGCAGGAGAGCTGCACAGACACACATTGTCACCGTCTGACAGAAAGTTGTGAGGACTCCAAAGGTCATGAACCGAACGTAACAATACAGAGTGCATTCCTAGACATTAGAAAAACTCAGGCAAAGATTGAGATGTCAAGTAAAACAACAAACACCTCAGATCAGGTCAGTCATGTCACCATCACTATTCTTACTGCTATTCCAGCTATGCAGGAAATGTATCTAAATTAAACCGAGAGCAGCCGGTAAATAAAACAAAGCTGATAGTATTTCACATTTGACTCATTGAATCATTGTATGTTATAGTGATCTTGAAAGCCCACAGAATCTCACTCAGTCACGCTGTGATAAAGCGACAGACTTACGGCCATGTAATTCAATTTACACACTACATTGCCAGACACTTGCTGCTGGGGCCAAAAATAGTTCAGCTCTATATGCTGAGATTTAGCAGTGAAACTCATGGAAATCATGAACGATATGTCTGTGCACTCTGCGTGTGCGACAGTCATCCTGGAACAAACAGTGAAGCAAGTGAGATGGAATCTTTGCAAATACAAAAAATTTAATAAAAGATTAAAGTAGGGATCATTCCTGGATGAAAGACTCTGATCAAACAGCCTTTAAAGAACGTGAGATCTGATTTTCAAATACGAAACTTGTGTGATGTAAAAAACCTGCTGTTTTAACAGGAGAACCAGTTGATAGGGCGACTGCCAAAACCTACATCAAGAGTCTGTAAAATGAGTCACACGAAAATCAAAGATATCTTCAATCTGCTGCTCATCAAAGTGATTCGTTTTTAACAATGCACAGATCTCTTGTTGCGTATTTGAACTCTGAAACCTGCCATTACACTGATCATTTCAAACTGAGCTGGATTGAATGGAAAAACAACAACAAACTTAAACTGATGTTGCTCTGGCACCTGATACCTGCTTGTTTCCACTGTAGAAACATAAAGGAAGTCTCAGCGACAGTTAAATGAATGTTAGTGTGTGATGATTACTCTGGTAACCATGGCATTTGCATTCATGCATTTATCTGGATTTACTTTTCAGGTAATAAATCCCGGTTCTGGTCCAGTCAGTGCCAAGATAATTTGGCCCTCCTCACATCTTCCCTGTCATCCTTAAAAGTAATTATAACTTGGACAAATTCAGCTTTATGTCAGTTTAAATTATTTTTGGTGAAGCAGCTTGACGTTACAGCTTTTCCTTGTCTTGTCCTTCACACATCTGCTGTCCATCTCTTCCCCTCATCACTTGTTTATTTGGAAAAGGAATAACAACCTGTCTCCTTTTAAAATACACACATACAGACACCACATGCATTGTTAACGTCTCTCTGTATCTTCTCAATGTTATCATTCCTGTTGCTATCTGACCCAGTGACAAACCCAATCACAATGTGCAGGCAAAAGGGAAAAATTAAAAGAGAGGCGAGCGACGCCTATAAAAACAAGAGAATAGATTGGTTCTTTCCATTACGCATGTAAACCCATTAAAGTCCAGATGTTGACCCTGGCATGACACTCTTTGGATATACAGTATGTCTAACTCACAGTGCCAACGAGTGCCAAGCAACAAACAGAAACCTTGAAACTCTGATCTTATTTCTTATTTCTTATTGTCTGGAGTAGGCACAGGGATTACTGTCAATCCTCTGGACCGTAAAGTAGCCCAGTAAAGCAGAAGCTGGAGCCAGCTGTCCCCAAAGTGGCTGTGTGGTCACACAGTCTTAATAATATAAGACTGCCACTTAATGAAACAAGCCGATCCATGTGTTTCCAATAGGGCATGAATGAACCCTTGAAGGGCTGATCTCTGCCGCAGACACCGAACGATGCAGAAGAAGTAATCCTTTAACTGGTCCACCAAACAAGTGCAGCCTTACATGAGATTTGTTTGGTTACACTGGCACTTGGCAGCTCTTTGGGCAGCTTAAAGCTGTAGTTGGTAACTTTTATTAAAAAAAAATGGTGTATTGTATTATTTGCTAAAACAGTCACTGTATTCACACTGCACTAAATGGGACAGATAATCAGTGAAAAGATTACATTCCTTGGCCTACAGTGTTGCCTTGTAATATTTCTGATAACCTTACCGCACATGAACAGAAACAACCAATTAGAGACGAGGAGTCTCTAATGCAGCTGTCAGTCATGTCAGTCGCTGCTCATGAACTGCAGTCAAACTGTCAAACTAGGCAGCACTGATCAAGTAGGAATCAAAATTCTGTAACTACATTGCCTATTTTTTGTCTAAAATGTTTTCAGAAACATATTTTAGTGTACTGTTTAGCTGTAACATGAGACCATTCGTCTGAAGCACTTTGTGACCTATGTCTGCAAAAAGCGCTATATAAATAAATACTACTTACTTAATTACTTACTTAGGTTCTCAGCTCGACTAGCTATATCCAACATGACTGCTGGCTCACAAACTTTAACGTTTTACAGCTAAACAGTACACTAAAATGTGTTTCTGAAAACATTTAAGGCACAAAACAGGTAATGCAGTAACAGAATCTTGTTTGATATTGATCGCGCTGACTCTCCTTGACTCTGATTGGTTGTTTCTGGTGAGCCGCAGTAGATTCTGGCAAATGCCATTAGAAGCAGTAGGAGGAGAAACCTGATTTTTTTCACAGACCATCTGTATCAAGTACTTCTTTTGAAATATAGTGACAGTTTCCGCAAAAATGACAAGTTATTTTCATTTCAAGTTAATAATTGTAGCTTTAATGAAATAGTTGGAAACAAAAGTTGAAGATACAAATCTTAACCCCAGGGGGGATCAGCAAACTTTCCCTTTGTATCATTCTGTGTCCTCTCTATACATATTTTTTGCGGTACCGTGAACGCAGCGCAGTCGAAACCCTAAAAATTTTTTTTTTTTTCCCCTCAGCAGCAGTTTGTGGAGTTTGAGTTGTGAGGTTGATTTATCAGTCGATCCAATCTGAGCTGATCAGATCAGATTAATGGACAAGAGGAGCAGCTGTTGAGGTGAGTCAAAGTAAATTTTTGGAACCAGCGTGATGAACGGTTAAATTTCACTTTCAGTGCACCTGGTGTTCTACAGCTCTGTCCATCTCCAGAGCACGCTCTTCGTCCTGAGAATATGGCGCAATGAAAAACCGAATGTAATATACAGTATATTCCAACAGATCCAAAAACAGAAAAGCAATATGAGGCACCAGATGTTGATATCATGGAGGGTCGCCATTAACAAATGAATGTGTGCGAAACCCTGGAGAGAGCTGATTCCCCTTGTTCCCGTCTTTATGCTATGCTAAGCTAACCATCTCCTGTCTTAAGTCTCATCTTAGACAGACAGACAACTGGTTTCAATCCAATGATCTAATTCTCGCCAAGAAAGCAAATATGCATATTTCCCAACCTGTCAAACTAAAAGATATATGGTGTGCCAGTCATAATAATAAATCACATGTTTGGCAGGTTTGAGTTCTGTGAGGAGTCTTGCAAAGCACCACGATCTTTCACTATCTGCCAAATCTTAGATGAAGCACAGAAATGTTGAATCTATTAGTCGTCTCATCCACATGTTTTATTGCAGCCTCAGGGAGACAAACTATATAAGCAGATGCATGTGTGGTAGTACCGTTTCACTATATAAACCATGAGCCAAACTACACGTGCCCTAATCTCTTCAAAACTAATTACTGTAAAACTCAATCATCACCCATTGTGATGTTTTATCAATGTGCTGAGAAAGGCTGTGCTCTAATTGAAACATCTTGTTAGTGTGAATTCAATGACTGTGTGACTGATTGGTTGTATATCTTCCACATTGTTGTCAGTAGAACCTGCTGACCCTCTTTAGCGAGCAAACCTTCACCATCCATCAGAATATGAACTCAACTTTAAGAAGAAAATCATCCACTGACGTCCTTTGAGCCAAGTGTTATTCTAAGACCTGCTTTACTCGTCCTAAAAAAGAGTTTGATCATGGGTTTCCCTTTTACAGGAACCTGCACAGTGACCTTGAGCTACCATAAGCCCTGTGGTATTACAGTATGTGTTCTCTGCCACTGGATACAAATTAGAGGACATGCCCAGTTAGCCTCAAATGAGAGGAGGGGGGAAGATGAAAAGTCATCGAGGGAGAGCAGAATGTGAAATCCAGACATGCAAACACAGATGAGGAGACAAGGCAAAATGCACAAAGAGAAAAGGAAACTGAGCATTTTATTACTCCAATTAAGTCAATTCTGAATGAATGTATAGCCAAATTAATTCATTTGACCTCTGCATGGACTGTATGCTGTAAATCTGCTCCCTCTTTCATGAGCTCGAATCCAAAAAAGACAAGTGTAGGGGCCTTGAACATCTCACAGTGTTTAAATGAAAACACATGCATGCCTACAGGTGCTGCCAAGGAACTGGACAACTCAAACCACATGAGAACCAATATAGAGCCTCACACACACACACACACACACACACACTGCAACACAACTGCTTGTGATAAATCAGCTCCACTGTACAACAAGATTCCTCCAAACAGTGAGGAGTAGGCCTTGGGGGAGAGGGGGTGGTCCACATGTGTGATGCTCTCGCTGTGATTTCAGTTATTCCTCTTTCCTTCAGGGAACGGGAGATCAGGCAGAACTAATGGTGTTGCTGTGTGTTAGAGCTAAGATTAACTCCTACAACAACAGTGAACATCTGCCTTTATATGCGGGATGTCTGGGGTTCAAAGGGGAAGCATGGACTGTAAATCTGATACAGAGATGGGTTGTTTGGGAGACTTTGAAAGGGAATGTACGGATCCTGTGTTGTCATGGAGACAAATGGCTTCCCAGTCACGTTCACACATTAAATCACTGTATAGTGAAGCAACTTGGTTTCAGTTTCGTAACTACTACTACACACATGCATACACTTTGAGTGTGAGCTTACTTCTGCAGGGTGAGGCTGAGGTTGCCAGTGCAGCTCTTGATCTTGTTCTGGGCCTCCAGGTGGTTCATGCCCTCCGTGGCGATGCCGTCAATAGACAGAACCAAGTCTCCAATGCCAATGCCACCTTTAGCCGCCTTCCCACCATCTGTCAGCTGCAGAGACACAAAAACCACAAACATCTCAAATTATCAGCAACAGCATCACAGTCAGGATTATTAAGCATGAGGGTGGGAAGAACACGTTCACTCTGTATTTATCACAGGATTTATGGATCCATTCCATTACAGAGGTACTTGGGCAAAGCTAATGAAAGACCTGGTCCTCTACCACATCATGGAGGGTCTACTGTACATCCACTCAAGCATGTCTAATAGCAGGAGCTTTCATCTCTGAGTAGCCTTTGTTTCTTCTTTATGACCTGCTGTCATACTGGGCTTACAGCTTGTTACGGGAAAAAAGTTCCTTAACCACAGCATGTGAGAAATAAAGATCACAGCCTTGATGCAATCCTTGAGTCCAAACTCTCCACTACCATATGTAGCCATTTCTTATCGGTAGGTTGTTTAACTGAAAATGAAGACTTATCAACATGCATACATTGAAAATGTACCAGGAGGCTAAATGTGCAAAATGTTTTGTTGAGTGAAAATCGAAAAAGACCGTAGCAATAAAAAGTGGAGTCTAGATTTTTTTTTTTCTCAGCATTGTCAAGACCATCGCATATGGACGTTGACATGGAGCAAACTGATACAAGACATTATTTCCACTTTAGAGACAAATTTTAAAGTTTAAGTGTGTGGATTTAGGAGAGTACGCTGGCAAAAATCACCTAAAATTAAGAACTGTGGTGTTTTCATTACCTTAGAATGAGTCATTTATATATACATAGGAACAGGTCCTCGTCAATGGTGTTTGCCATCTTGTCTCTACAGTAGCCCAGAACAGACAAACCACGCATTTGCTCTAGATAGGGCTATTTGTGTTTTTGTGCTGGCCATTGTAGTTTTCCTACACGCTTGGCATAGGGTAGAAGTTTCAGTTGATTGCAATCAGCAACCTCACCACTAGATGCCACTAAATCTCACACACAGGAAGAGGTTTGGGCTTTGTAATGGCACCTACTTAAGCTTAACATGACACACACTTAAGGTCAACCAAAGTGACTCTAGTTCCAGTAAAAAGCGGTTATGTCATTATTCTCCGTACCAAACGCAATTAAAAAGGTGACAAATAGCTAAAAGGACGACGCTACACATTGGAGACACATACCCGCTTTATTGGCTTTGAGGAAACTATGCGTGCCCTTCACTTGTCTCTGGTGTTCAGTGTCTGCCATGCTTTTTGAGGTATGCTTCAAATATCTGCATCTAAACAAAGTTTAATTGCTGCACTTCCACTTCGGGGGAAGCTGGTTAATTTGAACCAGATTCAAGCCACACAAAAGAACTCGTGATGAACAGCAGGGTTCGTATTTAATACCAACCCCGCAGCTCAACATGGCTTCAACATGCACAAATACTGTACTGTATCAATGCTGTCCATGACAATAATGTTAAATATATAATTATAATCACGCTGGGGGAACAACTGCAACATTTTCCGCACCCATCACTGCTGATGTAGTCCATCTATTTGTGAACAACAGATTATGTAAACAAGTGTTGGAGAACAGTTGCGAGGCAACTAAGCATTTAACAGGCACACAAGTGGGCCCGAGTCCACCCGCTGAAATAAAATCAAATTAGATTAAATGTGCAATTATGTGTTCTATCTTTGTGTGTTGAAACTCACCCTGTTTTCTTCTTGGAAAGTTAAATTTGTATGTGCTATTGAAGTACAATTAGACAGGTGAGACAGAATATTTTAAATGATTGAAGCAATGGTGACACAAACGTACTGTTCTTATAGATAGAAAAAAAAAATCAGAAGGAATTTTTATGTTGAATTCCTGTATAAACATCATGTATGGAGATTTTTTGGTTTATTTTTTGATAACCTTAAATATATAAGTATCTTTATTTTAAATTATTATTGTCCTCAACTCAGTTACTGTCACCAACACACAGGGCAATACATTGTGGCAGCATGTGTCATAAAAACCAGAGCCTTTCTTATCAGTAGGCTGAGGGAGGACTGTGACAAATCTGGAAATGTGCGTGGGATGTTACACACTGTAACTCTTGTCTCTTTCCCATGACGCAACAGCGCTGTATCTAAGACAAATGTGAAGGTATCATTACAACACATTTCTTTTATAACAAAAATTGATAGATTATTTTTGTAGCAATTTGTTTGCTATATTTTTAATAAAGTGGGACTTAAATTATAAACTGTATAGTATATATTACAAGTCCGTAGAGAACAAGAACACCTTGCAGCTGTTATTCTGACCATTCTTGGTCACACAGAAGGTCCAAGTGTGTCCAAAGAGGAGTGAGGTCATTTGTTTCTTTTGACACAGTGAAAAAAGAGGCCACACAGACCACTTCAATGAACACACACATGCACACAGACCACTTTTGTGGTTGTTCTAGCTATGAAGTGGCCCTTTCTCGTACCCCCCATATATCACTTCGAGTGCGGCTATTTGAATTTGGAGCTCCTACGAGAAAATCCGTTTCTGCTGAATGAGAAACGGCAGCAGAGGATGAGAGAGGGTAATGTGGGTTTAGTCGTCTTTGGTCTGCTACGTCCCCCTCTATGTCTGTTGCCTCTATCTTTGTCTCACACACACACACACACACACACACACACACAAAGACAGACAGACACAGGCAGGGCTAATAAAAGAGGCTCTGCACCCGGATTAGTGTTAGGGCTCTGTGGCCCCAACCTTTTATAGTCATATTAGCCCAACACACGCAACATCACTCACCACTCCTCACAACCACAGAGGGCAGGAAGAAGAGAGTAATGAGGGATCGACTTGACACTGATTAGAAGTGCGTGGATGGGAAGGAAGGGAGAAACAGAGGGGAAGGAGAAAACATAAGCCCACATAAGTCGTTTGTTCCTACCCTCTAATACAGTGGTTCCCATCTGGTGGGATGCGGGTCTATTTGAATGGATCGCAACTGACTCGCGAATGTGTCAAGTTTCTAAAAAACACTTTATTTCAGAGTACAGTGAATTTCCGGCACAGAGCTATCATTTCAGAGTGCTGTTTCCTGCTGTAGAGTGAGTGACTTATGGACAGCTACTTGACAGGGACAGCAAACTAGCTCAGCAGCATGGCCAAACTCAAGTATGATGCTGAATAGATTAAGCTGTGTGGACCTTTGAGTACAAACTGAGAAGAAATCTGGACCCCATGGCTGGACCAGTTGGGAGCTACCGCTCTAATATGACCTGCAGGAGCGTTTCTAAAATCAGAGCCCCCACTGGTGGACATAATAACTACTGTATGTGACTGTTCATGGTCACAGCTTTAAACAACTAGTTAACATTGTGAGACCATCACAGTTGCACCAAACATGTGGTTAGGTTTAGGCAACAAACTCCTTGGTTAGATTAGGAAAAAATAGATCATGGTTTGGCTTAAAATAAGTAATTATCAACATAATGTGACTTATCTCATGTGGTGTACATGATGTATTACGTAATATTCTTACGGAAGTTAAAACACCTAAACACTGACTTCAGGTTTCACACAAGACACAAACACAGGTTTCCTGGATGAAAGCCTTGTGATTGTTTGACAAATCCACCTCCGGACTTTGTCGCTCTACAATGCCTGACCTCCTTCTACAGCCACTAGAAGTTCCGTCTAACAATACAAGTAAAGATTGGTTGTAATTCTCACTTGTACAAATACCCTATGTGATCGTATTTTGGAGAACAGTCTCAAAAATTGCCACTGCTGAATTTTTGGGCTTTTTCCTCTGTGTGCATTTTGACTCAATTCAAGGGGTGTGTTCATGCTAACCACTCTGGCACTGTTACGGCCCAAATGCTCACCACAAAATGTTCAATTATATGTTTCCCCCCCAATTAGTGCTCTGTTTCTGCCCCCTACACACACACAACCAGTACCTCTTTCTCTCCAAACACATACAGAAACACTTGGCTTCTCTCTGCATTAAAGCTACCCACATCCATATCGGAAAGTTCAACGCATTTTGAACAAGAGTCCATACAGCAGACAGAGAATGAAAAAGGGGGTTTTAATTTGTGTGTGAAGTATTTAATCTGTAGGTCGTCATTCCAAACAAGTCTAAAGAAATTGTTCGCGCTGGCAAGAAATCTGTTTCCAAAAGCAAACATTTGTTTTCAATCACAATGATTAAAAAGATTTCAGCGCTCAAAGTAGTTTCACTTTCATATCAAAGAGAGAGCAACAAATCATTGAGAAAATCAGAAACAGATATCTAAATAATCTGTCTATGCAACAAGCCAAGCCCTTCAAGTTTCCCAGGGTATTTGATTTATGGCTCTGTTGCTCTGGCCATGACAGAAAACAACAGCTTTAACACTATGCACATATCCACCGGAGACGGTAATACAGTACATGTATGTAGGTTCGTGCTGGTTTATCAAGCACACCCTCTGACAGCAGCTGAGCTCAGGACATCCGTTAACACTCGACGACGACTTATATTAACAACCCTTCGATGAGCGACCAATGCAAACATCCCAACAGGGAGACAAAACACATGACAAAAGTGAATTAACAGTTTAGAAATTTTTAACTGGGAATAAGATCAGTGACTTTCCATCACCTCAGCCCTGTCAGACTGTGAAGAGTGGCTAATGTGGTCATAGCATCCTGCGCTGAAATTCTCCATGTTTGGGTGTCTAAGTGACTAATGGGAACAAATATTTCCAAAATTGGTCCAGTATTGAGCGAGAATGCTGCAGCCAGCAGCTGCGAAACAGGCTGCAATGAAACCACCTGGGGCGAATTATACACCGTTAATGTATGTCCACTGAAAGTGCTTGTTTTTGCCACTGACAGGTGTATGAGTGTCGGAAAACATAAAGGAAAGGTTCCCTACAGAGACAGACAGACATTTTGTTAAATAGAAAGATCCATAAACAGCCACTATCGCCAAACCCACTAGACTCCATAAAAGATAAACAATAATTTTATCATCATACTCACAGTTCATTCAAAGTTGAGAGGAACAAAATAAAACCATCTTGGCTTGTCTTG